AAATGATATTATCTAATATGATTTGCATTTCATAGTTGGAAAATCAAAGCGCTAAGCTCCAAGACTCGTAAACTTCCATTACTATCGTGTGAACCTCTATTTTCAAGTCCTTGATATGCAACTAGAAAAATTGAATGATCGCTTTAATGAGGTGAACACCAAATTGCTTCTTTGTATGGCATGTTTGGGTCCATTGAATATTTTTCATTTTTTGATCAACAAAAAATTGTTCGTTTAGCCCAATTTTATCCTCAAGATTTAGATTGTATGGACCTTATGAATCTTCCAATTTAATTTGACAAATACAATCATCATATGAAGATGCATAGTGAGTTTTCATCATTGAAAGGAATTAGTGATCTTGCAAAGGAGTTGGTGAAGACCGAGCGGTGTGCAAGCTACAAGTCTGTATAAGCTTCTTACATTGGTTTTGGCCTTACCGGTTCCAATCACTTCGGTGGAGAGAGCTTTTTCTGCTATGAAGATAGTGAAAACACCATTGCGTGATGGTGACAATGGAGATGAAGAAAAATGTGATGTTGACAGCATTGTTTTCTTCTTCTGTTGATAATGAAGCTATAATGCATCATTTTGAACTTATGAAAACGCGTATAAACAATTGTAACTTATATGGTTATTTGTTTTGTAAATTATGAATGATTGAACTATGGTTTAAGTTTTAAGATTATTATGTCTAAAAAATATTTGTGAACTTTTACATGCAGCCCTTCAAATAATTTTTTATGGATCCGCCATTGTTTGACCACCAGTCTTTTTGTGCTGGAAAAGCACAGCTTTTCAGTTGGATTCTCTGATGAACTATTCGGAGAACTTTTCGAAACCGACTCCGCAATCATCTTGCACACCACACTAGGCTAAGCACTCCCAGAAAAGAAACAGAGAGAAAAAGATGGTCGATTAATCTGAAATCTACAAAAGGGTAGCCACTAGCTAGGGTTGCATCTTCAATGGACGAGTTCTAGCCTTCGTACGTGTACTTCTTGGTCTCCAAGATTAGAAGGGTTGGCTATGGTATATCGAGTTTTTTCTATGATATTTTTCATTTAACTCTTAACATTAACTCACTTCTTACAAGAATTCTCATACAAGTCGTATGTACTCTGAGGCACAACATAAAACTAAAGGGAAATCATTTGTACACCCTTTTTTTTTCATGTGCATACTTTGTTCATTTTGTCCGTTGAATTTTACTTTATTCGATTTAATAGTCAGAAATGTACATATCGAAAAAAAAAAAACATGCGTTGAAATTAGTCCCAAAACTAAAATTTTGGTCCAAATATAACTGGAACGGAATCAGCATGCGCCTACAAATGCAGTTGATCAATCAGACTCTACATTGCAAAAAAATTATGAAATCAACACAAATTATGTTACATGCTTATTTTCTTACATAAAGTTAAAAACTCTGTATTTACATATGAAGTGACTCTTGGGACCTACCAAACTTACAGAATGCTAAACGCTCTGTAGTGCAACACTATTTACATAGTAAGGGTACTTGCACAATACCGAGAGAAAGACAACGAAAGCTTTTTTCTTACCCTATCACCAATTGTATACAACCATGAGTGTTTCTCTCTTATCACACTAGAGCGACACATGATTGTATATACCGGTTGTAGCTAAAGTTTTTTTCGCTTTAGAAGCCATGGCAAGAAAACCTAATTGAAGAACAAAACGATCCTTTTCATCATGGCTACAGCTTTTTCATTAGTGGGTTGGAGCAAATGGAATACATGGTTCTCCTCCTTTGTTTTCCATACCTTCACAACTCCTTTCCATCCACTCCTTCTCAGTGCCATACTATAATACCTTCCCCTATCATACAACGAATCTTTCTCAGCAACAAAAACCAGCACCTTCTGACACCCCAAGTCCCTCAGTTTTGGATCCTTAATCGGGTTGAAAAGCGGATCATCGGTTCCACTACTCAACGGGTTCAAAAAACGCCACAGGCCGGCCATATATAGTCTTACAATTGGTGGCATTTTTAACTCTGCCCCACTAAGTTCTGTCCCCCAGAAAAATGGATGCACCAAGACTATCCCATTGAGCTTGAACCCAGCCAAGCCCTCTGTGCCCACTTTTAAAGCCATGTGGTGTGCTATGTTAGCCCCAGCGCTGTCGCCGGAGAAAAACACACGCGTTGGATCTGCATATCTCTTCAGCCACTCTTCGGAGCTGTTTCCATCAAAATGTGAAGCAACCCATTTGAGAGTGGTCCATGAATCTTTATAAGCAATAGGCAGAGGGTGCTCCGGGGCAAGCCTATATTCAACAGAGACAGCAACCACATTGGCCATGGCAACTAAAGAGTTGACGTAGTTGTGATAAACCGGAGAAAAGGCACTTTCGACACAGAAGCCGCCTCCATGAAAGTAGACAAGAAGAGGGAGCTTGCGGGCTGAGTTGGCGGTGGAACTGGGGAGGTAAAGCCTCGCAGATATGTTTTCCTTATGTGAGATCACGACGTCTTTTGATTGCACGCCAGTTTTGGGATCGAGCGATGGAGGAACCTTTAGTTTACCCATGAAACGCTCAATTGTACCATTTTTGTATATTCTCATGAAAGGGAAGAAATCATATGCTATTTCATCGTTCATGCTCGGCGTTACAAAAGAGAAGAGAAAAATTAATACGAGTATGGAGATTGTAGGCATTTTTCTTTCTTGTGGTTGTGGAGACAGTTGAAATATGTTGGTGGGTGGACGTGGTGGATTCTACGGGACCCCCTTTAGATTCTATTAACGATCCGGTTGGTGATCATTCCAACAATTTGCGTTTCTTGTTATGCAAGTCATGCATATGTTGGCTTCAATGAGGGCAAATACTTGTTAAATATACCATTTTACGTATTAAAAGCTAATTTTACCCACAACCCTTAATTATGACGTAGTATTAATATCATTCCACTTAATGTGTGCCACGACGGGGCAAGGCAGTTATGCGGGAAGGTATGTGGCTGAGAGCAGTTGCAGTTGGTGATTAGTGATGTTGGGTAACTCGGTGCTTGTGGTTTGTTGGCGGTTGTCTAATAAACTAGGTGGTCATGGTTCACCCGGGTGGTCGTCGTCCGTTTTTTGGTAAATGTAAAAATGCTACGAACAAAATCCTATTGTTAAACAAACCAATGTGGTCGTTCCCGTTAGCAATTGAGGTCCAAACCTCAACTTTTGTTACTCTTCCATTAAAAAGGCACATGTGAATCTCACCTGGGAGATCATATTCGTCCCTTCAAACTGAAAATGTTGGTGACGTTTGTTAGCTGACTACATGAGGTTATATTTGACTAAAATTAGGATTCGACTAAAAAGGCTCAAACTGAACGATGCATGTGCTCTGAAATTGAAGATCTTATCAACCAAACTCAACCCTCCTTTCAAAAAAAAAAAAAGATTACCCAACGCTCTCGAAGATCAGGAAGAGTTGTAAGAAATTCAAATAATTAACTTCCATTTTCTGCATAACTAAATCATTAGTGTTTATGGCATGGATTTACAGAATGTATCAACGTTACATTTTAACATGTAACCGGGTGGATATCCTCTTATTAGTAATATATGTCACGTGATGTTACTGTGACATGTGTTCCAAAATTGTAGAAGGCTTTCAATCGAGACTTTAGTAAACCTTTAAATTCAATATGCACAGAAAAAATAAATAAATATAGATAAGATTCTATACGTTTGAATCTTCAGTCCTTAAGATAATGCCTCGACATTCTTCTAGTTAATTACTATAACTTGGCTAATAAAGTCAAGAAAAAACTACATATAATTGTGAAACAAATTATATGGTAGGCCATGCATCCTATAGTACGTAAATGTCGGATGAAATAGTTGTTGCTATCTACTATGCATGATTTTACGATTAATTATAATCTGAGTCGACTAATCTAGTTAAAATAGTTGTTGTCACCTGGTAGTTCATAAATCTCGTAAATTATCTTCTTCGATCTCAAAAATCTTTTTCTTAATTACGTTTTAATCGACTTTTCTTAACTTGATTGCATCTAAATATTGTCTAATTAAGTGGGAAGTAATGAACATTAGTTGTCATGGTATTGAAACCTGGACTACTACTGATTTTTCATAGTCTACATTTCATAATTCGTATATCGTTTGTTTTCTTTACGAGTGGAAAGCAAACACTTCAAAATTCAAATATTGTAGGCATGAAGTTATACCCACTGTCCTTTTTCCCTAAGGCCCATTTGTTTCACCTTCTTAACTAGGATTGGATTGAATCGAGGGACTTGCTAGAGTAGCCTAACTTGGACTAAATATTATAAGAACTGTCAAACGTTTAGTAAAGCGCCGGACTAAAGCAACGGAGGGCGAGAATGGAAAGGAAAACAATAACGGAGGACGAGAGTGGTCAGTGGGGAAGGTTACTCGAGGTTAGAGGTTCACGAGAAGGCAGCCACTCCGCTTGAAGGTTTCTGGGCAGCGTCAGCGAGGTCATTAGCAATCCTCCTCTTCCGTGTCGGACTAAATTAGACTGATGGGTCAATAACCCACTACTAATTATACTAAATTTGTGCAATTGTTGGAAATATTTTTAAAATAATTGAAAGCGCTTTCGATTCTTTAAAAATACTTTCTATCATGTTTGACAGAAAAAGTTATAAGTGTTTTTTGTTCAAATAAGTAGTTGAAGTGCTGTCCAAAAAAAAAAAAAGATGACGATAACTTAAATTTTTATTAAAAATTTAAACGTGCTTCTAATTAAAGCGTTTTTACTAAAGGTGCTTATGAAAAAAAGTGTTTTGAAGAAGCAATTTCAAACAAGTGTAAGGTTTTGTCACAAAAATGATCAATATAATTAGAAGCGTAACCATTTTATATAAGTTGTAATTTATTTTGTAAGATACCGATGTGAGACTTTTCACATCATTCAATAACTGTATGGACCCTCCTGTGTTGCTAATTCTCCAAGAACTGTTTAATTTGTACACTTAATTTCTTTTCAATGTAATGGATGTTAGCGTCGACGACTTCTATGGCAACATTCCACACCAGATTTCCAGCCTCACATACTTGGAGAGAATTCAGACATCTTCTAGAAATCATCCGTCAGACGGAATTCTAGCCTCGCATCTAGTCTTCGTTTCTTATCTTCAATGCACTGCCCTTGAGATTACGCAGTTCCCCGCTTCCAAATTAGTACAAGTGATAATACAACTAACAACATGGAAGGTGTACACGAAAACGGTAAATTTTACTGGTCTTTTGGTATTTGTACCTTGATGTATAAGTAATCTACCGTTATTTCACATCACAGTTTTCCATTTCTCCGGAAAACAGGAAGCAAATATTAAAAAATAAAAAATAAATTGCGGGACTTATTACTCAAGTGGTAGGGCACTTACCTATACATACTGAAAAAAGTTCAAATCTCGCTCCTAAATTTTCTGGTTTTTTATTTTTCAAAAACAAAACCAGGAAATTTATATCGACATGAAATTTCACGGATTTCGCTTGCTGAATTATGCAGAAACAAACAGAAATAGAACGCCTAAAAGAAAAGAAAATCGTCTTTTCTTTTTCTGGTGCTTCCTTTATATCTAAGAAATTGTAATATTTTGTTTGCTATCTTCAGCTAAGGTCAAACCAAAGACTAGGAATCTTTCAACGACTTTGAAGTCGTTAGCTTATTGTACACAATATATATATATATATATAGTGAACTGCTAATTTAGTCTCTGAATTATCGTCCGAGTAAAAGTTAAATCCCTAAACTATTTTTTTCAGAAAAATCAGTCCTTGAATTATAAAATTTGCCAATTACATCCCTAATATTAGATTTGAAGCTACTATATTCAATTTTCCATCAATTTAAGTCACGTTACTTTCATGTGGTAGAATGATAATTTTTCATAAAGAAATAGTGTATAGAGTTAACTTTGGAGGGTAAACTAGAAGTTAGATTCACAAATATATAAACTATTAAGGGCTTACAAGTGAGAAAATAACAGTATTACACTTTAAAGTGTGTCAAGTGAGGTAAGTTGACGAAAAATTGGATAAAATAACTTTGAATATAATAATAGAGATGAAATTAGCAATTTTTAATGAATTTAGGGCCTTATTTTACAAAAAAATAATAATTCGGGTTCTAATTTTCACTGAGTTGATAGTTCAAGACTAAATCAGCACTTCACCATATATAAGCTGCAACCTTCATACATATATACTCGTGTAGAAGAAAACCTGTAAGTAATCTAAATATGAGATGAATAATTCATAAAACCTGTAAGTAATCTAAATCTGAGATGGATCATTCATTCTCTCATGGCTTCCTTCTCATCCTCTTATTTTCTTCCATTATATTTACAATACATACATGCGATCTAACCAAACGCAGTGCTCTCACGTCCTTCATGAGCACTCTGTCGTCCCCTACATTGAACTGGACTGCTTCAGTTGATTGATGCCAGTGGGAAGGCATCACATGTAATCAGAATGGTTGGATCATCCAACTGCGGTTGCCATCCAAGGGACTCAAAGGAGGTATTTTTCCTTCATCACTTGGAAACCTTAAGCTTCTTTCGCACCTCAACCTCTCCCACAATCTACTTTCCGGCTCTCTTGAAGCCGGGATGTCTTTGTCCTTGAGTCACCTTGAGATCCTTGATTTGAGCTATAATCTTTTCTCCGGAGAAGTAGCATTGTCTTTATCATCAAGTTACATCCAAACGGTTGATCTTTCGAGCAATCAATTCAACGGAACAATTCCATCTTCATTCCTCCAGCATTCCTGGAATTTGAGCAGTTTTAATGTCAGCAATAATCATTTTACAAGCCAAATACCATCCCTTATCTGTCTCCGTTTCTCTTCACTTAGAGTCTTGGATTTCTCCCACAATAATTTCAGTGGCTCAATTCCTCTAGGACTAGGAAACTGTTCCGAATTGGAGGTCTTTCGTGCTGGTGACAATACTCTCTCAAGGTCCCTTCCTGCTGATATCTACAAAGCTCAAGCACTTCAAGAAATTTCATTATCTACTAATAGCCTTTTCGGACCCATCGGTGAGAATGTTGGGAAGCTCTCCAAATTAAAGCTCATGCATCTTCATTACAACAATCTAGAAGGTCATCTGCCCCCATCTTTGATGAATTGCACAAATCTTGTTGAAATAAAACTCAGATTCAACCGTTTTAGTGGGAATATCTCCGCGCTTGATTTCTCTAAACTTACTCAACTTAGTAAACTAGATTTTATAAATAATATGTTCACTGGTATCTTGCCAATAAGCCTTTACTCATGCAAGTCCCTCAAAGCACTTCAATTGGCTGCAAATTATTTCGAGGGACAAATCCAACCTGAGATTCTTCAATTGAAAAACTTGACCTTCCTCTCGCTTTCTAACAACAGACTCACCAATGTCACGGGGGCAATGAATATATTGACGAGCTTAAAAAGTCTCAAGGTGCTCCTTTCAAAAGTTTTTGCAGGTGAAGAAATGCCAGACGGGGATATAACTCTAATTAAAGAACAGTAGTATGATGGAATTGTCTTTGCTCATTTATCCACAGAACTAGGGTTACACTTTTATACACATATTGCATAGTACGATCCTATTATATTGCCTACAATCAAGGCTAACAGGGAGCTAAATAAGAAGGTGAATAACTAATATTAATTTACAATATTTGACCAATCAATCAGAGATCTCTTTCTTAACACTCCCCCTCAAGTTGGAGTGTATGTTAATGACACCCAACTTGCCAAGTAAGGTCTCAAACTGTGTTGAACTCAATGGCTTGGTGAATAAATCTGTTGGTTGATTTTATGTTCGTATATAGGCTGTTCGCACCATCCCTTCTTGAATTTTCTCGCGTACTAGGTGACAGTCTATTTCTATATGCTTCGTTCGTTCATGAAATACTGGGTTTGAAGCAATGTGCATGGCGGCTTGATTGTCATAGAATAATGTAACAGGTTGTGCATGATTCAATCGTAAGTCCTTCAAAATATTCTTGAGCCATGTGACTTCGCAACAGGTAGTGGCCATGGAGTAATATTCTGCCTCTGCACTAGAACGAGATACAGTGCTTTGTTTCTTTGTCTTCCAAGAGATAGGTGCTTGTCCAAGAAAGATACAATAACTAGTTACTGATCTTCTTATGTCTTTACATCGAGCCCAGTCAGCGTCACAAAAAGCGTAATTGCAACGGACCTGTAGTAGGTAGAAAAATTCCCTGTCCAGGAGCCTGTTTAATGTATCTGAGGACTTTATGTGCTGCTTCAAGGTGTGGTTGTCGTGGTTTATCCATGAATTGGCTCAACACATGAACCACATAGGTTAGGTCCGATCTTGTAATTGTTAAATAAATTAACCTGCCCACAAGCCGTCTATATGAAGATGGATTACTCAATAGTGTCCCACTTGTTTGCGTGAGGGACAAATTTTGTTCCATAGGAAACCATGAAGTCTTTGATCCAAGGAAACCAGCATCGTCTAATATTTCCAACGTATACTTGCGTTGACATAAAGTAATTCCTTTGCTTGATCTTGCAACTTCTATTCCCAGGAAATATTTGAGCTGTCCCAAATCCTTTAGTTTGAAATGTTGGGAAAGAAAGTGTTTAGTCTCTTCAATCTCTTGTAGGTTATTTCCTGCAAGTATTACATCATCAACATAGACTAGTAATGCCATAAAACTACCTTGACGACTTCGGACAAACAGTGAGTAATCAGACCACGATTGATGGAAACCAGCGGCTTTGAGGGCATTGGATAGCTTGATAAACCATTGTCTCGAAGTCTGTTTTAAACCATAAAGTGATTTGTTTAGTTTGCATACACGAGTTTCCCCCTTTCGTCCGAACCCAGGAGGCAAGGTCATATGGACATCGTCGTACAAATCATCATTCAAGAATGCATTATTCACGTCGAGTTGGTGGAGATGCCAACCACGGAGTGCAGCAACGCTCAGAAGGACACGGACAGTGGTGAGCTTGGCAACAAGAGCAAAAGTTTCCCGATAATCAATCCCCTCTATTTGATTGTAACCTTTTGCAACAAGTCGAGCGTTGTAGCGCTCGACACTCCCATCAGGTTTGAGCTTCACTTTGTACACCCATTTGCAACTAATAGGACGTTTATGAGATGGTAAGGGCACAAGAGTCTAGGTATGATTTGCCTGGAGTGCTGCAATCTCATGTTGCATGGCATCATGCCATCTGGAGTCTTGAACAGCCTGTGAAAAACTAGTAGGTTCCTTGATAAGGGTGAGATTAGTGGTGAAGGTTTTGTGTTTATGAGAGAGGTGGTCATAGGATAAATAACGAGAGAGAGAATGAGACGTACCTGATGATTGAACCATGCTCGTGGAAGAGTTGGGAACAACGTGAGAGAAGAGAGTTGCTTCTATGTGAAAATCCTGCAAAAAGGTGGAGGGTTTAGTGGGATGTGTGCTGCGACGAGGAGGGTGGGGACACGGGGAGGAGATGACGGTAAAGGGGATGGGATGGGTGAAGCGGGAAGTGTTGAAGTAGGTGATGAGGGGTTTATGATGGAGGGTGGTGAAATAGGAGTCAAAATAGGGGAATGGTGTGTGTTTGATGAGGGTGGGGTAGGTGCATTAAGTGGTGGAGTAGAATCAGCAAGTTGAGGGGAAAAATCAGGAGGGAGGTCCCCTGATGTGTTGGCTAAAGTTGGGGACTCATTAAAGGAGGCCATATGGGATGGTAACAGTGAAATGATAGTAGGTGGCAAGATGTGGTGTTGGGCAGCGGAAGTTTGATTATTTTGATAGGGAAATTGGTCCTCAAAGAACACAACATCCCGTGAAACAAAGACTTTCTTCAGAGTGAGATTAAATAGTCGATAACCCTTTTTTCCATAAGGATATCCAAGAAAAACACAACGTGTTGCACGGGGGTCAAATTTAGAAGGTCTGTGTGTGTGTGTGGAGGCAAAACACAAACTGCCAAAAACTCTTAAATGGGAATAGGTAGGTTCTTTATGAAATAATTTTTCATAAGGTGTTTTACCTTGGAGAAGTGGAGTTGGTGTACGATTGATGAGGTAAGCTGAAGCAAGTATAGCATCCCTCCAAAAATGTTTTGGCAGAGAGGCTTGAAAAAGTAGCGCCTTAGTTACGTTGAGCAAATGTCGATGCTTGCATTCAGCGACACCATTTTGTTGTGGTGTGTTAACACAACTAGACTGATGAATAATCCCTTTGAGAGCATAAAAAATCTCAAGTTTAAATTCAGGACCATTGTCACTTCTGATTATTTTGACCTTAGTATTAAATTAAGTTTCAACCATATGGATAAATTTGACTAAGAGATCTTTTGTGTCAGATTTATGCTTCATCAAATAGGCCCATGTGGTCCTAGTATGATCATCGACAATAGTAAGGAAATATTTGGCACCTGAAAGAGAAGTAACTTTATAACGACCCCAGATATCAATATGAAGTAATTCAAAAGCTGATTTACTAGAAATGGAACTGGAAGGAAATGGTGATCTTGTTTGTTTAGCCAAAGGACAAATTAAACAATTGTTGGTAACACAAGACTTATTATGAAAAAAGGGAATAACAAAGACACTTTATGAGATGGATGTCCAAGACGTTGGTGCCAAAGGTTTGGAGACATGATGTGAACAATGTTGCATATTCTTTTCTTTGGTGGATCGAGGTAGTAGAGCCCCTCCCGTTCAATTCCCATCCCAATCATCTTCCCCGAGACTAGGTCATGTATGACACAAAAATGTTTTAGAAAAATTGTGACATATAGGGAATTGTAGGCTAGTTTACTGATGGATATCAAATTCAACCTAAAAGGTGGCACACACAAGACATTATCAAGGATGAGATTGGGAGAGAACACTATTTGTCCAATATGAGTGACTTTGGCAAATGACCCATTTGGTAGTTCAACAGTGTGGTTTTCAACAGGTTTTGAATTTGTAAGAAGATTGGGGATACAAACAATGTGGTCCGTAGCACCACTGTCCAGGATCCATATGTTTTTCATGCCATTATGTGTGAAAGAGAAGGCTTTACTTGAAAGTTCTTCATGAGTAGAAGAATTACCAACTTGATTGACAAATGATGACTTGTTCTTGTTGAGCATTTGAAGGATTTGCTTGCAATCCTCCTGGGAAAATGGAAAATTGGGTGTATCCATCTTTGCCTATGTTGTGACTTGATTTCCTTTTGAAGAAAAGTAACGATTTGACTTGGTCTCAGCAGCGACCTTTCTCTTTCGACAGAACTCGAAGGTATGACCTTTCCACCCACATAAAGTGCACTTGAGTTGTGCACGACAGTTCTTGGTGGTATGGTTAGTTTTGTTACACTTACCACATCGAGTCCCATTGTCGTCTGATTCAGGTTCTCGGTTGGGGTTTTTCACCGTAAAAACAACAGCTTCTGGTTGAATGTTCTTCCTGCTGGAAACTTCTGCCTGTCGTTCATGTCGAAGGACTAATGCATAGGCCTTATTCACCGTGGGCAGTGGGTTGAGAAGAAGAGTATTGCTTCGAACAGTAGCATATGATTCATTCAGTCCCATAAGAAACTTCATTGTTTTCTGAGTTTCAACATATGATGTGATTTCTTTCTTTGTTCCACAATTGCATGCTGGGATTAAACATAAGACATCACGTTCATCCCACAAGCTTTTAAGTTTTGTGAAATAAGAACTTACACTCATGTTACCTTGTATGCAATCATGGATTTCATTCTCTACATGGAATAGTTGAACCCATGTGCTATAATTATCTTCCATCAATGGTTGTGGTACAAGAATTGCACCAGGTTGGTCCGAATGATGAAGGAAAAGTGGATGGTTGGGATTTTCCCATTGTGAGTGGGAAGTCATGCCTGAAGTGGTTGACTTTGATTCTGACTTGTCACCCATGCCGTGTTAGCTAGGGTTAAGTTTGTGTTGTGTGTTTTCCCAGATCAGTGCTCTGGTACCATCTAAAGAATAGTAGTATAATGGAATTGTCTTTTCTCATTTATTCACAAAACTAGGGTTACACTTTTATACACATATTGCATGGTACAATCTTACTCTATTGCCCACAATCAAGGTTAACAGGGAGCTAAATAAGAAAGTGAATAACTAATATTAATTTACAATATTTGACCAATCAATCAGAATCAATCAGATATCTCTTTCTTAACAATAACTGTCGATTCCGGGTTACAAAATCTGTGTTTTCAATTTCTTTGACAGTCATATGACAGGTCACATACCTGCATGGATTTCAAAGCTAAGGAAACTGGAAGTCCTGGATTTGTCTTTTAACAGACTCACTGGCACAATACCTGGTTGGTTGGGGACTCTTCCGAGACTTTTCTATTTGTTGTTGAATGACAACTTGAATTCGGGTGAATTTCCGAAGGAGCTTTGCAGACTACAAGCGTTAGAATCGCAAAAGGCTGTGAACGATTGTTCTCTTGAGTTGCCCGTCTACTTCCAACGCCGTAATAATGCATCTGTGGTGGCTTCACAGTACAAGTATGTGGCCTACAT